TAGCCAAATTTTCGCGAATTTCGCGTTTTTTGCTCCGTCGCGAAAATAAAAATCGTGAAATTCTAAATTTCCATTGCCACGTGGTGGAGTTTACAGGCTATTCGCGAAAATATTATTTCGTGAAATCTTACAAATGCAAAATTCGCGAAAATTTAGCGACGCGAAAATATCCCAGTATACGGTATGCACTCATGGTCACGGTTGTCTGATTTGCAGGGTATAAAAGGGGCTTCACCTCTTCTCCACATTATTACAAGCATTAAATTTTTTGCTATAAGGAAGAAAAAGAGTTGGACCTAGTAAGCAGCCATGGCTACTTCAAATATAAAAATTTCTTACGTTAATGCCACTGGTAACACCGATTTTGCAGTTGTTGTGTTCACAAAGAACTTCAATGTCAACACTCCAAAGGTGTACTATTCTGCCTGGAAGATCCTTAGGGCACAGAGCCAAGTCGACTTTGTCTATCCTGTTTCCTTAGGTGTTGGTGTTGAATACACTACTAGCACAGGATTGCATAGGGCTGGACCGTTTCCTGCAGAATTAGGATCAACTTGGGAGCTCTCTCATGATACCATTACTTCCACACCAAGCTTAAACAAAGGTACATTTTTTCCTTTGGTCAAAGATATTGATCTGACTGCCTGACAAGTACATGTAGTTTCTGATAATCACTTAATGCCCCCACTCTGGTACTGACATGAGTCATTTTCCCTTTTTTCTCTGTTTCTCTTTATTTAGTTGCCAATACTCAAGCAAATCCAAATGGATCTATTGTTGTCAAGAATCTTCCACCTTGTACATGGAGTGGACGCATGTTTGATGTTGGTGTTTACAAGGATGGTGGTCTTCTAGTTGTTGAAAAAGATGTCCACGTTGGTAGTCAAGCTGTCATCATGCTCAAGCCTAAGCTTTACTTTGCAGTTGTCTCTAACATGGTTGAGGGTGATGTCTTCAGTGCTATGGAAATTACAAGTTCTTTGACTGAATTTGATTTGAGCGACTATCCTGATGGGTTGAAAGTTACGCTCACTGAAGTAGGACGTGGCCGCCAGTTTAAGTTTGAAGGAGGATTCTTGTAAACGAACTATTTGAACTTGCATGCAGCTTCTAGTCGCATATTTTTAGTATAGTTTTAGTATTTTTAGTATATTTTTAGTATTTTAGTATAGTTAGTTACCCAGTTGATTTGCTTTATGCTCAAGTGCTGTTTTTTTATCAAAAATAATGATTATTAATCTACATTGTTTATACAGTAATGATATGATGTACCTTGAACCTTGCAAAGGTTGATCACAG